GATATGGCCATGTCGAATTTAGCGCTAATCCTCTCGTTGGGGAGGATTACAGAAATCGATTTAAAGAGAGCTTTATGTCGAACTAAATGGCTTCCTGGTGTGGACGGGTGCAGGGTTAATTCGATATAACGGCGCTAAAGTCGACATAAAAGCCTAGTGTAGACCAGGCCTTAGAGCAATAATGAGGTGGTTATTTCTGTTGTTTCGTTAAAAATTCATAGAGGGAGTAAATGTATTTTTAACATAGTTTTTTTTTTTATTAAAATACTTTAATGTACTTTGTACAAAAATGTTTTAAAAAGTAAATTGAAATTAGAGTTACTTTAAAGCTCCATTTGCAGTCGAGCTTTATAGTAACATCTTTTTCATTTCCTCATTATTCTTCACGATTCCTTTGCTTGCTATCTATAGCAAAATGAAGAGTGATAGCAAGACTCCGACAGTTGCTACAAACATCTTCATACAGAGTGTGTTATAATGATGTGTGGAAGAGAAGGAAAATAAAGGGTTTGTTTTAATGGCTCAGTAATACTGCTATGGTAATATAGTAGCATTACTATAAAACACTCCCCCTCAGGCAGAATAGCTAGACACTGAAATGCTAGTCCTTGAGAATCTAGTTTGGAAAAGATATCTTGCCACCAAGTTAACATAATTTTAAACCACACACTTGCAGTGGGTTTTGCTTCAGATCACTCCATTTGACCTATCATTCATTGTATTTGATTGTACTGATTAGGTTCTTAAAGATTTATCCAAGGACATAGATAGTTTTTATGTAATCAAAAGAAATAAAATATTAACTTATTTAGCTTAGTGGCAGATTTATGCTTTCTGAGCATAGAGAATGATTGGGATATGGAGGAGACAGCAGAATGACTGTACTTCAACATAGGTTCTCTTGCAAAGGGAGAACCTACTACATGTCTTATTTGAAAAATCCTAGACAGGGAAAGGGGATGGAGGATAAAGGGAGTAGGGTTTTTTTATATTTAGAACAAAGCTTCTCTTGGAGAGTGAACAAATTCAGTACGTTTTGAAACATATCTGAAAAATGCCTTCATAGTGTCCTTCCCTTCCTATTAACTGAGGGCCAGATTCTGATACCTGTCACATTGAGGAAGTAGTACCTGGTGCAGTGGGTGGGTAGTTGGTTTATTTCAGTGCTACTATTCAAGGATCAGAGTACTATTGAATGTGAAAAGGGTGACATAATGTGGCATTTAAATTTATTGCTTCCTTTTGTCCTATGCTTCTTGCCATAATGGCAGCTTAGTCTCTTTAATTCTTTTGTTCAATAAAATAATATTTTAGTTAATGTAGTTCATTTTTGAAACAATATAAAGCAATTCTGATATTTTAAATGAAAACCCCAGTGTTTTTCAAAACTAAATTAAAATAGGAACTGATATAGTCCTTCCCTCCACTAGAGGGAATCAGAAGTGCTTGAATTGGCTCTCATGCATAGTGGAAAGCCCTAAGGATTATACAGTTGTAAATAGTGATTTAAATGGTGGACTTCACCCTCCACATAGTGCAATCTCTAACTTTACATAAGCACTGCAGGTGTTTATATTATATGTGAAAAGAGTTAGCCTGTTTTTTTTCCTTTTAGTTTTTAAAAGCTGATCAGTTTGGTAATTTATCTAGTATTACTGATCTAATGTGAAACCATAACTGCAAAGGCGTTAAGGGCAGATTTTGTTTTCTCCTTAAACCTATCCCAGTAGTATCCATGGAATTCTTTAAGGCTCTTGTGACAGTCTTCTCTCTGTGCTTCACTTACGCAAGTCAGAAACTGTCTGGAGATATAACTCCCTTGACAAACTTGAATAAAAGGATTTTCTGCATAAGGACTGTAGAAGAGGGTAAACTAACAAAAGGACACATTTCAAAAGTGAGTACCAAGGCTGCACAACAAACCTGGAACATACACCTGTTTTAGTATGACAAATGGGTGCAGTTAAGTCAACTTCATTTGAAATTTTGGCTTCTAATATACTTAGGAGGAGATTCACCAGAAATTGTTTTTTCCTCTCTACAGTGCAGACATTTATTTGCTAGTAATTAATTAAGGGCCTGATCCTGCAAACACTTACTCTCAGAGGTAGTGCCTACAACTTCTTTGGGATTTCTTTGGGACTGTTAACACTAGTAAGCAGTGTGCCAGTAGTGTTTGCATTATTGGGCAAATGTATAAGACCTAATATACTTTTGATGGACAAGTATGTAATAATGATAATTAAGAAGTCTGTTACATGTGGTATATTAAACCGGCAGAGCCTAGTTAAATAATTTATTTATTGACTTGATATTATATAATGTAATAGATGGTCATGAAATTGTTAGACCTAAAGAATTATTGTAGGGCTGTTTGCAGTACCATTTTAAAGTTTATCCTTTTTATTATTTTATTATTATTATTATAATTTTTTTTTTTTTTACAGGCCTCTATTTTCTGGGGTTTAACCGTGCTATAAACTTTTTTGCCCCGGGAAGAAATGTAGTCACTTAGCCAGAGCAGCAAACATTAAAATAAATAAACTTTGCCACCCTTTGAATGCTGAACCAAGTTTCTTCCCAGTGCAAAAGTATATTGCTATTTTAAAACCCTAAAAACAAGAGAATTGCTTGGTAACATTAGAGAAAAACTTAAATGATGTTGTAAAGAGCACTTTGAGTATCAGTCAGATCCGTAAAATCTATGGCTGACTCCAAAATTCTTCTTCAAGCATTGCCTGCCTGGATTCCAGGATGAGGCGATGTATGCACCTCAGCATGCAAATATGGAACTTTCTGGATGCTAGTGTCTCTGGTGCACATCAACATGCATATCCTGTTTGTTGTCCTCACCTACCCATCAGACAATGTCGAAGGAGATGCAACCCCAACTATTACGCAATTTCTTCTGATGTAGGCAAGAAGCAGGAATGCAGTAACATCTGCCTGTTCCCTCAGAAAAATCTTTGAGGTTTTTTTTTTTTTTTAATGCTCTTAGGGTATTTTTAATGTAGTGTTACACATTGGCAAAAAAATTTCAGTTTTGGCATTATTGGAATGTTTTCCTAAGCATCTCTGACTTCCCCCTCCCTCCCCCCTGCAAGTCCCCCTTTTTCTTGATTTGTGATAGCGAAGACCAACTCCCCTTTGTGATGGCACAAAGTCTGCCGTGGACAAGTACCTTTAGCGCTTGTGAAGGAAGAAGTCTGTATCCAGCTAGATCAGTCTCCTAAGATAATTTTCTGTGAGGCTTTCTACATATCAATAGCTGTCCTTGCATAAAGTCTCCTCTGGCTCTGAATACCTGGAGGAAGATGAGGCTGTAGAAAGCCCATTCTCATATTTTTTTAGTCTGAATGATCCTGTCACTTGAACCACCAGCCTCCCTAACTCAGGATTTCAAGACTTTCCAGAAACTCTTGAGAAGCCTAGCTGAAGTCCCAGACTTGGAGTTGTTAGTAACTTGTTACTGAGTAATTCTGTCAGCACTTTTTTTTAACTAAGTGTGTTCTAGAACTTGCAATAGACCTCTTGCTTATCCTTAGATCCATTCCTCCCACCTCCTAAAAGAGCTGACATTTTTTTTAAAGTTCCACAAGAGTATCGTTTTTAATATTCCTCCTGTCTCCGACACTCTGATCAGCTGTGGCTCATGGGAATTTGATTGCATCAATGTGCACTAACTTCCCTTCTTACCCACTGTTTTGGAGTCTTACAATAGATTGTTGATATTAGAGGAAGGAACTGAATGCCAGTTGTGTATCTGTTCCCTAGTGTGAACTTGAGTGATGGTACATGTAGCACCAAAAGACATTTCTATCCAAAAAGTTCAGAGGCTGTGCACAATACCTACATTTTGGATCCATGCATGTAATCATGTGGGAGAACCACAGTTATAAGGACAAGCAACTGTTGGTTTTGTTTTTTTTCTTTGGTGCCACACAAGACCGCATTAGTTATAGTACCTTAAATGGGATAACGGATGGAAGAGCCTTTGTTTCTAAGTGGTTCTAATAGTAGTGTTGGCCAATCCTGACAAAATAAGCTCCATGTGTGACCTGTCACTTGAGGAGAGGCAGCCAATTAGCTTCTCCAGCCCTTGTCGTATACATCTTTGCTACAACTCTGCTCTACTTTCCTTTTAGCCTGTGCAGCTTTCCATCTTCACTGATCAGTATTCAAGAATCTCTCATACATTGGTGGTCTTGGAGCATGGTAGAAAACAGGAGTATAATCCAAAATGTCATATTCCAATTTAGTCTTGCTTTCTTTTATCTGAATTCGTAAATTTTCATTGAGACCTTTTATTTTCTTTTGTTGCCTTATAATAATAATAATAATTAATAATAAATATTGTTTATTAACCCTACCAAAGGATTTGGGGTCCTGAAAAATAAAAATATTAAAATAGAATTTTAAAATAAGCTCTTTAATCCAATCAAGTAACCAATTGAGGGAAGATCTAGTATTGGAGGGTAACACCTATAACTTTGAAATCTTCATATTCCTGTAAACATTCACAGTCCTGGATGATAAATGTAGCTATCAAGTAAAAATGCATTTTACTTTTTCTAACCCCAATCTGAGATTTGACCAGTTAAGCTTATTTATTTTTAAAACAAGACAGACAAAAAGAAAAACAGAAACGATCCCTGAATTTATAGTTGGCGACACAAGAATATTGAAAAATGTTGGCAATAACATTTAAAGTTTTAAAGTATACATTTTAGTCACATTTAAACTATTTTATTTTAATCTGGCTAAATATTGTCATTTTATTAGAAAACAAAAAGTACTTCCCTCTCCTTCCTTCACCATCAAATCGCCCCACTGCCTCAAAATTACATATTAGTAAACCAAAAATGACGTTCTTGCAGACAACTACATCATATCTATAATGTTATGGACTGAAAGTATACATCCAATTAGAACACAAATATATTTATAGAGTATTCTAGGTGTGTCTGATACTTTAAAGATAATATTCTACTTTCTGACAGACAGAGTTGGAAGAATGTCTATTAAAATTAAAGGAAGAAAGAAGGGCAAGAGTAAAGGCCGATGAACGGATAATGGAGGTAGTTATTGTTTAATATTTAATATCATCAGTTCACATTTGCTTTTATAGCTGCATACGTCGTATTATCTAAATGTTTAGTTTGGAGTAACTATCAATGACAATTACGTGTGCATTAATATTTTCTATAATGGTCAAGCCAAATTATGTGAACTAGTTTTTTAAAAAGATCTAGGGTTTTAATTGCTTTAAAATGACTAGTTCCATTCTCTTCTATAAAGGCTCTTAGTACATTGATGAGCCTGGTATATCTGAATGCTTTCCAGTAGTGTATTAAATGACATGACTAACATCCGTCACATGTTGTTTGTTCTCTCACCATCGCCGGAGAAGTGCATGGAAGGGAGTGACTCATTAGGTAGAATGCTGTTTTTTAATATACATGCTGCTATATGCTAGAGAAGGCAAGGTCAAAGAAATGCATATTTCACTTGGCATTGAAGGTGGTGAGGTTTATGATGGTCTTTAGTTCCTGAGGGCATTCATTCCACAGACTTGGATTGGCTTCTGAGGATGTTCTGTCTTCCATACACATGAGCTTCACCCTTATTATAAAGAGCTGCATTGTGGCATAGGAGCATAATTGTTGACTATGGTCTTTATCATGGAGCTTTAGGTGATTTTTTTTTAGATATCCTGGAGCACCTTGAAGATAAGGACCAATACCTTGAACTTGATTTTATATTCTATGGGAAGCCAATGTGGCACAGAGGACAGGGTTGATGTCTTCACAGTAGCCTGTATTGCTGAGAGAGACACTGCAGCATTCTGTACCAGTTAGTTTCCTAAATGCTGCAGGCTTCATGCCCAGGTATATTGCATTGCTGTAGTCCCAGCTAAGAAAATATGTGAATAACTGAGGTCAAAGTAATGTGTGTCATTTACCAGCTTTAGAGAAATGGTAACATTTGTATTTAGTAATGTGTGTTTGCCCTCTTGGTCTCTTACTGCTGATCCTATCTCAGAGCCTTGAACTCCAGTTTTAGCCCAGCTGCTGTTTCAGTGTGCTTTCAGTATCTAGCATCCAGACCACTTGGATTGTTCACTTTTTTGTTAAGTGATTAATCTTTGATTGCTTGTGATTTATAGTAGGCAATCAATTAACTATTTCTCTGTGGAGTTACTAGAAAGATTCTCCTGGTTAGAGAGTAACAAGTAAATAGGATTTCTTTAAACAAAACTCAGCTTCAAAGAAACAGAATGTATGAGTGGATTTGGGTTCTTATGTAGAGTTTAGATTGGGGTTAAATGTTGGGGTTTAAATGTGGCAGTACTCTTCCAAGCTCAACCCATGTGAGTTGCCATGAGGCATCACTCCCAGTACAGGATGCAGATGTCCAAAATATAGTTGTGTGTACACTCTAGGCTCCATTGAACAGCTTGAGCTTGGCTGTCCCTCAGTAGGTTTGGAATAATATCTGTGGGCACTGCTGAGCTCCTAGGGCTTGGCTTCCCATTGGTGGGGTGCTTAGATGTCTTGCTGGGCTTTTTTGGCTTGGCTCTCCCTTAATGGGGATCAGATGCTCTACTCTCCTAAGCCCCTTGTTTGGGGAGGAAAAAGATAAATCATGGTACTCTTTCAAACACCACCCACGGTAGATTGTGCAGATCTGTAAATCCCTCTCCTTTCTTACATGCTTCCATGAACAATGAAATACGTAGGCCATGTCTACACTACCAATTACATCGGCAAAGCTTATGTTGCTTAGGGGTGTGAATAGAACACCCTCGAGTGACATAGTTTCGCCAGCATAAGTGGTAGTGTGCACAGTGCTATGTTGTCAGGAGAGCTTCTCCCACTGACATAGCTACCACCACTCGTTGCGGATGGTTTAATTATGTTGACGGGAGAGCCCATCTGAATTAAGACCTCACTAAGAAGTATGAGGGACTGTTCACAACTTTCAAAGCTATTGTTCCAAATTCTGGAGGACATTGCTACACTGCAGACTTGCTTTTTTTCTTAAATGAAAGCTAACATTCTCAGTCACAAAAAGGCAGCTGGCGAAAAGTGCCACTGTACTGGCCCAATATGAGATCTGGTTTAGACACATGTAACACTAAATATGAAGAGAGTACTAACCTTTGCTAAGAGATGTCTCTTTGTTGATAATGATTACACTGTCTTGGTTGTTTAAAGTGTTTCACAGAACACTTTTTTCAGCTAAAAGAGTGCAGTTTGAAATGCCTTACATTCTTTTTCAAGGCGCTTATCATCCTCAGTGATAATATTGTGATACTTACTTTTTTCTCACCCTTTTTTGTAGCTGGAAGTTGAAAATGCCCGATTAAGGAATCTAAACTTCTCTCTGTCTGAGGTTCTTCATGCACAGTCAGTAACCAACATGATTCTGGAAGATGAAGGTGTTCTGGGCAGCATTGAGACCTCTTTCCAAAAGTTTCATGCTTTTTTAGACCTTCTTAAAGATGCTGGGTAGGTTATCGTAATATCTGAGTATTTTACCTTTTTCTATTATATCTTCCCCCTGTTCCTGCCCCATCTTCCTCCTGATAGGGCATGCCTCCCCTTCAGGTGTCTAGGAGGATCTCAT